TATAGCCAGCTCTGATCCTGATAGTCCAAAGGTCCTGTTATTACTATGAAGTCAGTAGCTGACATGCGGCTTCCAGCAATTCTTTTGTTGTTCTTTTTGTTCATTAAAGCCCCATCAAAAGACCTCCAAAACGAACCACATTGATGAGATGGACGCAAGTAACAAGAAGGATGTCGCATGATGATCAAGACTGTCTTTGAGGCCACCAAGAAAACTAAATATTTAATAATTTCACGATAACCATCTCAAAACAGAAGTCAGTGGTTGGCTTGGCTACTCCCATAATAATCATCAGTCCACATAGTACCATAGCTCATATGATGTAAGAATAAGTTCAGTTTTGAGCTAAGCATCTAACAACATTACATGAAGAACTTAGAGGCCCCAGAGGTCATGGATTGGGACAAACATTACCACCAGTTTCACAACATGTAATTGAGACCAAATTTTAAACGACCAGACTTACCTCCCAACTTGCCTAGTGCTAGTTTTAGTCGACAAGGTCTCTTGCTTGAGTCTTGAGGATAGTCAAACCAAAGAAACCGAAATAAAATGAACTACTACATATATTCAATACCATACCTGGCACACATTATTCATCCAGTTTTGTTGTCAATCATTACATACAACATACCAAAATAAACTATTATCCTAAGGTGGTGGAGGCAGATACTGAAAAAGGCAGGCAATGTCAACAGGAATGTCACAAGTGAAGCTACCCATATTATCATATATATATATATATATATATATACACACACATTGATGAGATGGATGCAAGTAACAAGAAGGATGTGGCATGATGATCAAGAAACACATTGGCTTGGCTACTCCCATAATAATCATAAGTCCACATAGTACCATAGATCATATGACATAAGAATAAGTTCAGTTTAGATCCAAGTATTTGACAACATGACGTGAAATAACTTAGAAGCCCCAGAGGTCATGGATTGGGACAAACATTACCACCAGTTTCACAACATGTAATTGAGACCATATTTCAAACGACCAGACTGAGCTCCAACTTGCCTAGTTTTATTTCTAATCGACAAGGTCTCTTGCCTGAGTCTTTTGAGGATAGTCAAACCAAAGAAACCTAAATAAAATGACACTCATTCAAAGCTTATAAGATTCACTCAAAAGTCAGCACTGCCAAGAGCTGATTCGACTCAGGTCCCATGTCAACTCACCGACTTTATAAACTGTGATTTAGATGATAATTGTATAGCAAGTGATCAACAGATGACAACTAGTTCAACCTAAGAAAAGGAGACTTGAACGAACCATAGGGGTCCCAGAGATCAATTTATATCTTAAAATTCATCCACACTTGCATAGCTAGCAAGCTGCATGAGGACTAGATGCATTTTTTAAGTCAGTTTTGAATCACATGTAGATACAAATTAAACAGCCCTATAAATCCGGGAAGCATGCATCCAATGACCATTGTCTCCGATATGACTTCAACATAAAACCAAGAGAGCACAACCACCACCTAGTCCCTCCCTAGTTCACAAAATTAGCCCACATTGTAGCCTTATCTTGAATTCATGATTTACCATGTTACCATGGCATCCAATATGCTCTCACCACAAAAATGGAACTCTATAATCTCATGGATCGAGGGTATCTATTGCACAAGAACACCTTAACTCTATCTTTAAATATTCTATGCTACATTATATATGATTACTTTACAGAGAGAAATCTATCTCAATTAACATAAATGTCAAGCATGAACCAAATACAACCAAAGATCAATATCATGGCATAACTCAAGTGTCCAAATAGATAAAGTAACAAGTCCACCTAGCATTTTTTTTTTTTTAAATGTAAGTCCACCTAGCAATCGTGTACACCTTAACATGTCCACATAGCACCGTGAAATTCAAATATCTAAAGTTTGAAAGCTTTCTATCAAAATTTGTACCTTTTCTCTTCTATTAACTTTTATCAGTTCAAACATATGCTTCATGCGGAATCATTTGAAACATAAGCAAAGATTCTGAGTCACTCAATTCAAACAAGAACAGAAAAATGTCAGAATCAAAAGTCACAAGCCAAACCTTGGCATCTTCAGCTGAAGCAAAAGTAACATAGCCAAAGCCCCTTGACCGACCAGTTGAACGCTCCTAGAAATTCCATAAAACATGTGAGAAGAGACAATTTAGAGTGTAGAAATGCAAATGATACAAAAACACAACCTAGAAAATCTTCATCTGCATGTATAAAAGGAAAGAAGATGCTTCGAGTAATGCTTCGAGTAATGAATTGCTATTTTAAGGAGAAGGATTTCTGGAAGCTCTATGCCTCTATGAAAAGATAACGAACATAAAATGCACACAATGCATCTTAGAATGGCTAATTTGATCACAAATGAGTTTTGTGGATTTTCTTTCAGAAAGAATCATAAGGGGAAATGACAACCTTACAAATCTAAAAATTGAAAAAAAAAATAAAAATAAAAGAACTATAGATGCCTCGGATGTGTGACAAACATTAGTCGATGAAATTGCATGCCTGTAAAGATATATATCACAAACTACCAGATATGCACCCCATTGTATGAAAGACAACTCTCAGTAAGCCACAACTGCTATCAGAGAAGCTTCAAAGTGAAATATTAATGCACTTGCAAACCTTTTGCTGCCTTCATTTCATGCTTCTGAAGTCAATTTTTTCATAACTATTAATTATGCATGAGAAAAATCACAAACGGGGAACATCCAAAGGCAATCCTACATAAACAAAGATAGAAAGAACATCCATAGAAGCAATTCAAATATCAATTTATGAAACCCAAACTTCAAAAGTGAAGCAGGATGTGCAATACAAGACAGTCAAAGTGTCAAACAACCACATCATTGTGCAGCTTGTGAAAATGGCCCTAAACATGACCTGAAACAAAAAGGTTAAACATCGAGTCTCCAAGAAAAAGTTAACCCACCTAATGATGTTTCCCCACCCACACGCCTCCCCCTCCTAACACCTTAAACATACTAGAAGTACTCCACCAGCTGAAGAAACAAAGACCCCATCACCCCATAACTTCATAATGTTTCATGATTAAATAGCCATATATGCCTCCATAACCTCCCCTTGATACCTGATCTTGAATGGCTACCTCGAAAACCAGCCACCCTAGATTGCCTTTCCAGCAAACAGTCTCTATTGGCATGAGGCAACCAAAATGAGAGTGACAACAAACTTAAGATTTGGAAGCACCAACGATTTCCTAGCAGTACTCCCACAACCCCCCCACACAAAGTCCCTCACTTGAAAGAATTAAGTGATACCTATGAAGCTATCTGACGTTCCTACACATTGATGCTAAACACTCACATCCCCTAAAGCTCCCATTATTCGTAGCCTTCCCTGAGCTACAAATAATGGCAAATGGGGTCAAGGCGTTCAAATGGAGAACATCAGATGAGCCAAGGTCATGGTAAATGCAGAAGCACAACCAACAGCAATAATTATTAGGCAACAATAGCCCTAAAACTAATTACCAATAAGAAAATTAAACTCATCAATAAGTTATGACTTTTGGAAGCAGCATCTTGGCTAGTACAGAATGTGCTTCTAAATACCAATCCAATATTCCAATACCCTAATTACCACAACCCCAGAGCTCCTATCGACTTTGGCAAATACATCTAGCAGACAGGAAGGACCAACCTCCTCAAATTCATTTTCCAACAATCTCATCATGCTCTCTAGCAGACAGCAACGACCAACCTCCTCAAATACATTTTCCGACAATCTCATCATGCTCTCGCTAACCATTGTGAACCCAAGATTTTTCAGGCTCACCATATACCATGATTGCAGGCTCTTCATGTAATTAAAAAAGCAAAAAAGAAACAGAGAAAGACTGAAAAAATAAATAAATGGAAGGAGAATGCACTTTTTTCATCCCATTCAGCAACCATTCTTAGAACTCATTTACCCCAAGCATTTCACCATACGGCCAAATAAATGTTCCACACGACCCTCTATTACAGTTTTGAAACAACATATGAAAAACCCATGACTTTGTTTGAATTCATAACAAATAATAATAATAATAATAATAATAATAATAATAATAAAAATAAAATAACAACAACAATAATTATAATAATAATAAACAAGAACAAGAACAATAATTATCATAATAATATCGAACAATAACGAACAGCAACAAAGAGAGGTAAGTATTTCATTCCAAAATCATGCAAATTAAGGGACAAAATAATATTTTATATCTAAAATAGATGAAGACTAACAAAAGGATTGAATGATGAATAGCTCACCTTCATGACAATGGCATCTTCCAGTTCCCCAAATTTGCTCATGTAGTCCCTTAAGCCCTCTGTATCGACATCCCAAGGGATTCCCAGCACCTAGCTCACAAAATCCAGTGAATAAATTTTTTTTAAACAATAACTGAAATCTCACATGTCGTTTTTTTCCAATTTCCAACCCCAAAAAAAAAAAAGCATCTGGATGGAGAGAGAAGTAGAGGAAATAGAAAGTGAAAAAGAGAAGCTTGGTGTATACTAACCACTAGCTTGTTCTCCATGATGGTTAACAGCTCTGATGCAAAGGGGAAGAAGGGTGAACAAATCTCACTCCCCACCTCACAAAACACACTCTCTCTAACCCCTGCACATGACCACACCTCTTTCTCACACACTCACCTCAGAAATCATCCACTCACACGCAAACATGCAACAAAACCACAAAACAAAGCCTCTTTCTCAAACCCTAACAAACGGCCCCTGGCCTCGGCCCTGGCCATAGCCATGGCTGCAGGCCTTTTTCCCCCTGATACTACAAAAATCACACAGCAATGAGTCATTATATATTTATTTAGGTTAGGACCCAAACTTTCTCTCTCTCACTAACCTGTATTTTCCGCTCGCTCCCTCCTCTTCCTCCTCCTCTATTCGCTCCCTCCCTCCCTCGCTCGCTCCCAGAGCCTCTATCTCTCGCCCTCTCCCTCGCTCTCTCCCTGATTTGGAATCACAAGCCCCATCCGCTTTGGGCCCCCTTCTTGCGTATATATAGGCCCTCGCCTCGCCGTTGCCCTACCTGGAGTATGATAAATTCGATGATTAAGGCCCGGCCTTTGTGTAAATAAAATAAGGGAAAGTATCCTTTGGCACACGGTGGACACCTTTAATTTTACCAATTAAATGTGAAATGGGATGGTTACTTTTATTTTATTGACCACACTCAATCTTTAGAATATATTTTTTTAAGCTTGATACATCCGAGCTATTAGATTTCACATCGGATGGTTATAACTAATTGTGACCTCCTTATATCAAAAATAAATGATCTCATTACATACAAACCTATAAATAAATGCTCACCTCAAATCTTTTAAAAGTACTTTCGGCAATAGAAATCTACATGATGAATCTAAAATCAATTTTCAACACCGACAATAAATTTTGAAACTCAAAAAATAGTACAGATGCTACAGATTTATAAACACTTATTTTTAAGGTGAAATGGACTGCCTAGATAATTTGTTATAATATACACTAGTTTTAGAGCTTAAAATCTTTTTCTTTTTTTTTTTTACAACCATAATGTTCAAGCCAATTCGATCGATATAAAGTTTTTCTAATGATTGAATTGTAATTTTCAGTGAGTTATGAGTTGAGGCTTTACTTATATTCATGGGGTTGCAGCCCTATCAAACCATTTTCCAAATTTGATATGTTTAAAAGCCAATTTCTCATCTAGATGGGAATCGATCATGACCGAACATGTTTAAGGATGACATAGGTCGTGGCCAGGTATCCTCCCTAAAACACCACTTATAATTTTTTTTAGTCTTCTAAGCTTATTGAATATTTTTAGGTCCTTTCGAAATCCCCACCCTATAAACTTTTATTTTAATTTTAATTTTATTTTAAATTTTTTTATATTTTTTTATCACTGACTCAGACCAATCCAGATCCAATCCAATGATTTGATGTGCATTTGTTGGTAAATAATCTACCCCACTAATTCGAGTTTTAAAATATTGTTTGATATCATTTAATCAAGTCACTATTTCCAATATGATGCATCTAGTGGCATATCAACTCCATCTAAGTTTTTGTTTCCCATTCGATGTAATTGTGCAACAAATGTGTCATATAAACATAGATGCGATTTGTATAAGATTGCAACCTTTACTTGTAGAAGTAAGGTCACCATCTTTGAGTACGCCAAACATGATCACATAGAAGGCAGAATTATTATTTGGAATGACATATTCTAAACAACTTACCAATGGAGCTAAACATAAACACATAACACTGCTTTTTATAGATAATGAGGTATTCCATACAAAATAAATACACATGGTTTCTGTTCAATATTGTTGTAATGAATTTACAATTTATTATTTTAGGGTATTTTTGACAAAATTGAATCTCAATATTTAGAGTTTAAAAATTTTGAATAAAGGCATTGCTGGCATTTCATATATCCGAAATATATAATATCCTGATGCATGTTAGCTTGTGTATGTTTGGCTATCTACGTGTATTAAAATTTCATAGATTTTGACTTGGCCAAAAAAAAAAAAATTGTCAAATTTTCCCAAATCTATTAGAGCTTGAATAGAACTTCTCTGTCCTTTCCCAGGGTGACCATATTTAGGCTTGATCTATTTACATTAAACAACATCAAGCCCACTTGTATAAATGATGCCTTAACACAAAGAAAGAAAAGCACGAAATTAACCAACACAAGTCATGTACACTCTCTTTCTCCAAATAGCAATGTGAACATGAGATCCAAAATAGTTAATGTTAAAGCTCGGAATATCATATTGGGGTCTTAAACTTGTCTTTAGGATAGGTCATGTTAACGCTCGACATCTTCTAAGCTGCTTCCAATTGCCACGAGTCTTGAAAAAAAATCTACCATTTGGGCTTTTGGTTGCCATTCGCGATTAAAGTTCAGAGCTCGAGCTTCAACAAAGAGAGAGGGTGAGGGAATGGGCAAAGATTAAAGCCTTAGGGCTGGTAGAGAGTGCTCAAGCTTCAACAAAGAGAGGAGAGGAAGTGGGCAGAAGATTAAAGCCTTTGGGTTTGTTGAGAGTTTATAGAGAGAGAAAATGGGTGTATGGAGAGAGAGAGAGAGAATGAATAACGGTGGGACAAAGGTTGGGGCATCTTGGCTAAGAGAGAGGCCCCATGTGAGACTTAGATGTAGAAATGGAGCAAAAACCATGCTAATTATTTTTGATGGAGAAGTTATATAGTGCAAAATTCAATTTCTCTTTGAATTTTTGAAAATACAGATTTTGGACTTTCATCTCGATATTTTAAGATACAATTGTGGGTTATTAAACATGGTTTTCTTCTTTTAGGATTAGAATTTTTTTAATCGCTCAAAACTCAAAAATATTCGTATATTTGTTTGCAATCAATCATAGCTTTAGTTATTTACATATTTAGTAATTCACAAGGAGTAGAAGTTGAAGGAATTATATATGATAACAACTTTAACCTCTTTGTCTCTACACTTATGATTATTAAAACAAAAAAACAAAAAATCACTAGATGATTATTAAACAAAAAAACAAAAATGAAATTTGAGTTTTCTAACCGTTAGATCCCACCCTCTAAAAAATGGATGGCTTCTATTCAATTTTGAGACATTATTTGTTTCAAGTGCATAAAAAGTGCAATCAGGAAAAAAAAAAATATTGATGTTAATCAATGTGTCGAAGGGATTACCCCAAAATTTGAGATACCAAAACTAATCGTAGTTGGGGTTTTACCCGAGTGAGTAAATGGACAGTATACTCTCGAAGTAGTAGAATATCTTTTGACATAACTAATATTGAGTTGGAAAAGAGAAACAAGGAATATCAAGTGGTTCCAAATGAATATGAGTTCCATGAACTAGACTATGATATTAGGATTCGATATAAAAAGTCCTACACATTTCTACTGATTTAATAGGCATTATCCTTCATTGATACAAAACCATGCAACGGTGAAAAACATTTAGAATAACTCAATCCAACTATTTAACTACAATATAATATTCCTTCTTCTTTTTTAACTAATAATACAAACTTGGAGTTTCAACTTGGGTCTCTCATAAATTTTCAGTAGAGAAAGGACAATGTCATGCTAATCAATAGTTATGGATGATAATTAACATAAATTTTCCCTCTTTTTTATTTTAACATAATGTTTTATTATTTTAAAAATACTCTATAATTCAAATAGTTAAATCTCATTAATTACATAAGCATTATCAAATCAAGGTGACATTCTGGGGACAAATTGCCAAAAGAAAGTCTTGAACTAGCACTAACAAATAATATAATAGTTATTACAAGTATATGTGTTACCTTGATCCAAGATAATATCTCATCTTCATTAAATTTAGCTCTACAACAATATCTATACTACATTATTAAGTTATAGTTAAGGAGTGGATACGTGTTGAGAAAATAAGAAGGGATGTTAATACTATAAAGATTGTAGGATACATTTTCCATCTTTAGGTAGAGAGAGAAAGATATGTATCCCTCTTTACATACACAACGTAGGAGAACAAAATTTAAGAAAGAGAGGCACACCCATATTTAGGGGAGGAGAGAGAGAGAGAGAGAGAGAAATCACCTTTATCTTTTTGTGTTTATCAAATATATCTCTTTTCTTTTATCTTTTAAGAACTTTTGGTAAGTTCAATATAATATATTAGCAAATCTATATTGATTAAGATGAGATTTAGAAAGAAGTTAACAACTTGAGATACACGATCTCTCTTTCCTTAACGAAAGATGGTTGGGCCTGGATTTATCATCGCTCGGGCTCCCTCGGGGACCCGGGCTCGATGAACCCCCTCTCGAAAAACCACTCGACGCGTGTGGATAGGCATTTCCTATAGGGAGAGGATTTTAAAGTAGTAACGATGTGGACTCGAACACTTACCTCACCGCAATTGAGTTCATGGGATGTGTCTGGGCCGTAGCCCTCTTAGATCAATTACTAAAGCCCTCCAGCAGTCTAGCAGCGTGATTGAATTCGGCCACCTCAGAAATCGATATCTCACTTGGACTCTCACTAAAAGACTGCTTTGTAGAATCCGCTTATAGTAACCTCCTCCTAATTATGCGTATGGGAAATGGATTCTAGTTTTAAAGGCTAGAGTAACAGGAAAGATAGATCAGAAAGAGAAGAATAAGAGAAGAGTAAGAGTGGGTTGATGAGGTTTAATTTTTTGGGGATGAGAAGAAGAAATAGAAGAAGAGGAGATAGAAGAAGTGAAGATATGACCCGAGAATCGGGCAACCTCTCGGTGTAACTTCTCCGAAGAGGTATTACCGGAGACAAGGGAAAGCACCAGGCTTAAAGCCTTGGAACCCCAAGGATTTGGAAAGTGGAGTCGCGTGACTTAGCCCGTAACTATGTCACTAACCCAAAGAGCCCATTAAAAGTGATACAGTGAGAGAAGAGAAGAGAATGAAAGAGATAGAAATCTCTCACAGCTCGAACACTGTATAATCAAGTGGTTAGAGTAGTTCAAGAGTTAAAACTCTTAGAAAACTGTCTCAGGAGGACCCCTGCCCGAGTGATCTAGCACAAGATGTGTCTCTTACGACCCAAAACACTATGTGAACTGATGGTTAGAGCAACAGCCCAAGAGTTAGAACTCCAAGAAACTATCTTAGGAGGATCCCGACTCGAGTGAGAGAAGATATGGGTGAAAAAGTAATGAAATACAAGTGGATGAATGAGAGGTGAGAGAAGGATAGAATGAATGAGAGTGAGAAGATAAGGATGGATGAGGTGATGCGAATTAGATAGAGTGGAGTAAGACAGTGAGATAGGAGAATTAGAGAGATAAAGAGAGAGGATGGACCCGCCTAT